ACAAGTTCATTTAGGATAAAAATAATCGAACAAAGCTTTTTGAAATAGATTGTTTTGCTTAATCAGTTTTGTAAAATCGTTTCAGACTCTAGGATTGAATTGAAAATGTCCAATGCTTAAGGTATCAATGCGCTAAGTGCATATCTACGAAAATTGGTTGTATTAGACTTTAAGTTAATAGATTTCATAGTAATGTGTTTATTAATACTGTTGATAGATTTCGTAGTAATGCATTTATTAATATAAATAATTATATATTAGATATAAATTTGTTTTGATTAACCAATGATATTTTTGCAATATCTTGGGATTATCTACAAAAATTAGCCAATTACTATTTAAAAAATGAGTAAAGATCTGCAATATAAAATTCAGTTTTCTTAAAATGAATACATTTTTGATAATATATAAATAATAAATAGATAACAATAATAATATATACTATAAACTATTAGTCCTAAGGAAATGAATAAAGTATCCAAGACTTCTTGACTGACAGATGTACTGGAGATGTCTTGGTGATACAGGTTTAGTTACATTACAGAGGGGTTAAACAGGTAATACCCATAGTTGGATTACAGGTACGGCATCTAGCGTAGAACCTGTATGATATACAGGCGGACTACTTAAATTAGACACCAAAAGTGTACGTGTGGCTAGTATGTACTCTCTAATATAGGGGTCACTAGAGAACCCTTCACTATATATATCTGAATAAAAATCCTAGCTTCCAAGAGGATAGACGTTAAAAAATAAAAAAAATAAAAAAAAATATATATATATATACTATAAACTTTATTTAATACAGTATATTACATAAATTTATTTTTTTGTTAGATTGATAGAAAAGCAAGTTGACAGTTATTATATATTATTGTACATATATACGTACATACGTAGTTTTAATGTTAAAAAATGAGCTATATATAATGCACTTTTTGCAAAACAATAAAATTAGTAATTTTTTATACTTTTGAAATATCTGAAATATCTACTGTAAAAACTAGTTTAAAATTAATAACAACTGTTAAATAAAAGAAAAATCAGTACTTTGGATTTGAACGTGAAATCTTTAAACCGAAAATTGTTATAAAGAATGACTTCTCTTGTCAGTCCCATCACATGTTTATCAAACGAAGTTCTCATAGAAATATTTAAATTTCTAAAGAGTAATTACAAAAATAATTGCAAAAACTTATTTTCATGCCTTCTTGTAAACCATGTATGGTGCAAAAATATTGTAACAATGTTATAGTATACACCTTGCTTTAAAAATACAAAAGTTATTAAAATCTGTTTCTTAAAACTAAATGCAAATGAACAAGTACTGTTGGTCCCTTTTGAAATTGACTTTCCAGAAAATAATCCAAAGCCATTATTCAAATATGCAAGCTTTATTTCTTCTATCAATAGTCAAGATTTGAGCTGTGGAGTGCTAAATTTTCTTAAATGCGAAGAAAGCTATCCTGTAACAGCTGCTAAATGTTCCTTGATTTTAATGTTTCTAAGAAAAGCAAGAAACTTAAAGATTTAAATCTTTACCATAATAACCTTAGTTCTTTTGGAGGAAATACGGTAGTAGTGATAGCCAATACACTTTTCAAAAATGACAGTTTAATTTATTTGAATATTTCATCCAATCAGCTTGGCTTTGGTGAAACAAGAATGTTAACAAATTCTTTTTACAAAAACAATACTTTAACATTTTTTGATCTTTCAAATAATAACCTTGATTCGTTAGGAGGAAACGCACTAGCAAATGCTCTTTGCAACAACAACACTTTGACTTTTTAGATCTTTCAAATAATGACCTTGGTTCATTGGGAAGAAATGCGTTAGCAAATGCTCTTTGCAAAAACAATGCTTTAACTTTTTTGGATTTTTCAAATAATAATCTTAGATCATATGGAGAGAAAGCAATAGCAGACGCACTTTCTAAAAACAATGCGTTAACCACTTTAGTACTTTATGGAAATAAACTTGAATCCGATGTTGAAAAGCACTAGCATATTCACTTTGCAAAAATAGCTTTTTAATTTTTTAGATCTTTCAAATAATAAACTTGGTTCTGTCAGTGGAGACGCAATAGCAGAAGCTCTCTTCAAAAACAATAGTTTAACCTATTTTAATCTTTCAAATAATGACCATGATTCTGACAGAGAGAAAGCGTTAGCAAGTTTACTTAGCAAAAACAATATGTTAACTACTTTATCACTTTCCAGTAATAAACTTGGATCTGATGTCGGGAAAGCACTAGCAGATTCTCTTTGCAATAATATCACTTTAACTACTTTGAATCTTTCAAATAATGACCTTGATTCTGACAGAGGGAAAGCGTTAGCAAGTTCACTTAGCCAAAACAATACGTTAACTACTTTAAATCTTTTTAATAATCAAATCGGGTCTGAAGGTAGAGAAGCATTAGCAATGCACTTCACAAAAATAATAGTTTAACTTTTTTAAATCTTTCATATAATGACCTTGCAACTAATTCTCTTCACGTGAATATGACTTTAACTTCGCTAATATTTACTGATATTTACAATTATATCAGGAAAGTTATATATATAGATATATATCGATTACTAACCAAAAGGATATATATCGATAGTAATCACCCTGCCGAGTTTCATCGATTTCGATTATAATCACTATATAACCAATTAATATATCTATCGATTTTTATCGTTTTTGATATTAATCGATATATAGCTAATATAAACAGTTCACATCAAATTTATCAAATTGACTAAAATAAATGCACTATTGTATATATTATATACTATACATTGAATTTGTTTTGAATCGAATTATTAAACTAATTTTATTTACAATTTTTTTTAATATAATTAATATTGTAAAAAAGCACAATGCAATTACAAATTACATATTACAAATTACATATTACAAATTAAAAATAAAAAAAATAAAAAAAAAATAAAAAAAAGACAAAACAAAAAAAAAAAACGCTACAGTTTGCTCTTAAACAATTGATCCATCTCGTCTTGAGACATTTGCATCATGTTGCTTTGTTAGGATGATAGTTCTGCTTCTGATTCACAGTTTGGTATAGTTGCACAAGATCTTTGGCCTTCATTGTTCTCAAGCTCATTTTTAGCTAAAAATTTGGCAGATTCATATGATGGGCCACCACTAGCGAAGTCATTCTACAATGCAAAACTCATTAATAATACTTTTAATACAAACTATATACAATTGTATACGATTATATATGATAAAACTTATTAGAAAGTGCTTCATATATCGTTTCATTTTACTCTCCTTATATATTATGCCTTTTGATTTGGGATTCAATAAAATATCACACATGGCAAGTGTGAAGGTGCAATGTTCATCAGACAAAGTGGGTACTGCAGTCGTAGAGAAGGCCGATCTTGCTATAACAGCTACTCAAAAAGCACTACTTTCATTTTGCTCAAAAAGAGAGCAATAACAACTAGCAACTTCCTCACTTTGTTTCCACTTTACTATGTCGGACACCGCAGCGTTACTCTTTAACATACGGAACTAGACCATTCGGCATGGAACCGGTTGGTAAATTCATTTGTGCTTATATTTGACATAAATTCAGGATACATTTTCTCGAAATAATCCTTAAGGGATTCCTTAAAGGTGCTTTGGGAGGAGTACACATCTTGAGGGAACAGGTGCTTTACAATGTTTGTATACACATCCTATACAATATATTTATGAAAAATAATGGTTAACTATGCGTATTTCAAAACTTTTACTAAATGATCTACTTACATCTAGTACTTGACTTGATAGTTCATTACTTTGTTCGCTCCGTTGCCATCTTAGTTTGGCTTTAACTTCACGTACGTCATCGCGCAGCTCTCTGATTAGAAGGTATAGCTGCCGGTTTTGTTAAAACAGTCATTCTTCAACAAGATGGTGACTTTGGTGGGTATGGTGATGTTATTTTAACAACAAAAAGTTTTTTTTTTTAATATAAAAAAAAAAAAAATGTAACGGCAATTCAAAAAAAAAAAAAAAAAAGACTTTATATAACAAATTACCATCTTGATTATGTTGTTGATTTTGATTGGATGATCTTCTGTCCAGTAATCCAGGATCAGGTTAGTCACATTGTGGCGATAATGAACGATCTCTATGGTTATTTGGCGAAGTATGATGAGAGCGAGAAGGTTGGTGGCCTCTATTATTATTTGGAGAAGGTTGGAGGGATTGTGGTTGGCGAGATTGAGAATGTTGACTTGCATTTTGGCACGATTGATGTTGGGATGTTCGATGTCTACCAGATATTCTTGAAAAGGTACTATGAACACTAGCAATAGTTTTTGCTGAATCCAAAGAATCATCATCATTAGTATTAGTATAAGGAGGTTGGTGTGGGCCAGCAATATTTGATAGTGCATTATGAATATCAGTTTGGGAGTGAGATGTAGGGATAGGAGTAGCAGGGTAAAGAGATGAGTTATTTTGATCTATTTCCAAAAAGAATAAAATTCAAAAGTTTCTTTACCTTCAAACAATGAAAATCTGCTATATTTATATATTTGTAAAACTTTCACAAGATATTAAAACAAATTAAAATCTAATGATGACAATCATAATAATAAAGAATGACAAAATAAAAGAATACTTATT